TGTATGTATGCATGTATTTATGCATGTATGTATGTATGTATGTATGTGTGTATATGTATGTAAAACACCAAAAAATGTCCGTTCAAGTCAGTTCTTTGGGTTTTTGTGGGACAAGCAGAATTCTGTAAAGTGGGAACTGGAGGGCTTTGCTCTTGCAGCTTTCGCGCAACATTCTTCCCTGAGGCGATGCCAAAGGTGTGGGACTGAGGGGAAACGGTCAAAGATACAACTGTACTGCTGCGAGTACCCAGCTGCTTCATGCTACTCCGACCAGTTGGTGGTCCTTCGACGATGTTTTGTTTCTTCCTATTTATTCCACAGAAGCCCGTGTTTGATTCTATTGCCTTTACACATGATTTGAATCATGCTTGATGCTGGTGACCGGTTCCATGCAGTTTGCCTACTGTAAATTTATGATAAGCGAAGAGAATAGTTGGCATTTATTGTGTGTAATGAACGCGTTGTGTATGTGTGTGTGGGCGTTGGAACAGATGGACATCTATGCTGGTTGGGGTACTCAATAGATTGCTTTAAGCAATCTTTAAGCAAATAGTTGGCATCGCTGATGACTTGTTTGCAAACTGTTGGAGCGAGGTTCGACTCTTCCATGGCAACTTTGGGCTTTGTGTCTCGCCAAGCCAGGCAGCATCCGATGGAATTCATACAACAGTGATTGAAAGGCACGGCGTACTGCAACCTTGCGAGGCTATCAGGAACCATTAGTAGTATAGTAAGTCAATGGACACGATAGGCTAGAACGTGGATGCTGGCAAGCTGGTTTCCGACGTATCCACATTTGCGTGGTAGACAGAAGATCCGGACACAATGGATCCACATCTGTGAGACTCATGTTTGGAGTTTGAGGTTGACAAACAAAATCATAATCGCGAGTCTTTGGCAGTTTAGTACATCTCCGTAGTGGCAAGGCTTCCGCAGGATACGCGCCTTGACTCGGCGTCAAGGCGAGATGTGCGGCGCCGAGGAAAGCCACAATTTTTGCAATAGCTGCGAAATCGAATATCGCTAGCAGCAGTGGGACATGGTCCTTTATATAAGCACCTCATTTTTTTGTATCCTGAGTGTCCTTATGTAGGCAAATCACTGGTATCCACGATGATGTTTGGAATCATACAGCTTGGAACCAGGTTTTTACACTCATGCCTTGTGAGTGGGCGATCCCAACATGTCGGAATGTTTGATTGGGGTGTTAAAACGACAAAGCATGCAACCAGATATTAGTCACCAT